TTATTCCATTGTTTTTACCATTTCTCAATGAGTAAAAACAACCATAAACCTGCTATTGGTGATCAAACAACAACAAGTAATCAAGCATACACAAGTAGACAAGTTAATACAAGATACAACAAGTATAAATCACATTCAATTCATATCACTTGGCCATAAGTTTCATCTACTCCCTAGATATAGAAATTTAGCTACTGATTGATGATATAACAATCAAATTCATAACTTCATTAATGAAAAACATCTCAAGTTACAAGTACAAGAAGGTTAAGAAAAGGTTAGCCAAGTTAATGGTGAAGCCCTCCAATTTCTACTATGTCTTGCACTGGAAAAATGCTTACAAGATGAAGCCTCCAATATTCTTGCAAAATTAACTAGCTAGAGAGAGTTTTGCTATCAGAAAATCTAGCTACGTATGGATGTCCGGACCTCTCCCAATGTCTCTGCATAAAAACTGCTCAAGAGCTCCATTTTTCCAAGTCAAATTCCACCTTTTGATTTCGAAATCTCAACTTTGTTAGGATAGTCAATAACCAATGTTTTTTACTAGAAAATAAGCCACCTTTCTTGTCCTTTTGTCTTCTGAAGCATGTGCACCTATTCCCTTGCAACTTATGGGTGGAAAGTAGTATGAACACAAGAAAAATGGCTGAGCAAATTGCAGCTTTTCGGCTACAAAACGCGACTACACAAAACGCGGCATCAACTCGCGTTTTCAACTTGGCCTTGCTTCAACTATGCTTTTCTCTATGATGAAGGCCGAACTAGCTTTTGTGCGAAACACAAAAGTTGTAGCCCTTTGAGTTAGCTTTACAATGCTTCAAGAATCATCCAAATCGGAGTTTTGTAGCCTGAGATATGATCGAAATATTATCACCTGGTCAAACCCCTGTTTCGATTTTCGACCACAGAATGCAGCTTCTATATTCCGACTTTTCGTCCATGAAAACAGCAGAATTGGATTTTGATGTCTTCATAACAATTGTAGGTCTCTTTCTTAGCTTTAAAATGCTATAAAGCTCACCTCAATCCGATAAGTGTAGCTCCAGATATAGTCAAACTACCGAAAAGTGTCAAAACTATCTTGAATTGCATTTCCTCACTTTGAACGTTTTTCACTTCATTTCTCTTTTAACCACTTGAATTCATCACCAATTATCTATTTTTTACCTCACTTGACATTGTTTGGTGATTGAATCATTAAACCTGCATAAAAATGAAGTTTTTATCACTAAAATCAATAGAAATGCAATAATAGCCACTTTTACCAAACAATTTATATTTTTACCAAAATCTATTTATTTTAGTTATAAAACTAAATAATCAAACCAAAATCAACTAATAAAATGCATTTTAAAATACGTAAAATAAACCCTTATAAGATGTTGCCTAGAAACTAAAGATTTGTGTATCTTTGGAATTCGAAGTCAACAGATTTCTAAAATAGATCGTTATATTTTTAACAGTTATAATATTCTTCGTGCAAATTGCATACATGTTACAACTTAAACTCGAGCTTTTCCAGCGGACTGCCAGCAAAAACAAATCATGTTGATTTCACTTTCGATCCTACCAATCTCATTATTCCTATTTTTTATTATTGCCATTTTCATCTCTATGTTCTACCTCTCTTCTGTTTTCTCTTTTCTTTCTTCTTTTCGGGCCATACAACTCCTTAAAGAAGCCTAACGTGAATACACAACCAACTAAATTTTGTAAATACTATCACTGGTGAATTGTTAATAGTTCTAGTTCAGTACTTGTATATCAAATCTCAAACGTAAACAAAGCCACCCACCTTTTATTACTAATTGTACGATAATTACAAGATTTTTATGACATCTGGAGTATTATTAAATAATACTTGTTAACATACCACTACATGCTCGAAAACTAAAAATGGTACAGGACAGTGCCTAGAAACTAAAGATTTGTGTTTCTTTGGAATTCGAAGTCAACAGATTCCTAAAATGGATCTTATATTTTTAATAGTTATAATATTCTTCGTGCATAATGCACACAAGTTACAGCTTAAAGTTGAGGTTTTCCAGCTGATTGCGGCCAGCAAAACTTCTTGTCCTATAAATTGAATAGCATTTCAAACTGAAGAAAATCTTAGATGAAAGGGATAATTTCAGAAACCTCCCTTGAGGTTTTTAAAAATTTCACTTAGTTCCATTTAGATTTCAAAAATTACACATACCCCCCTTGAATTTACCATTTTGGTAACAAAAACTATTCAATGGTCAAAATTTTGAATGAATAACCCAAATTGCCCTCATGAAATTGTTAAGTTCATTTTACCTTGTTATAAAATTCGATAAAAAAAATATGGAATATGCACAAAATCTCAAACCCACTTTCAACCCTTATCTCTACTATTTTAAACCTTTCATATACCTACATCTCAAATTAGTATCACTATCATCATGACCACCGCTACCATCAGTCCCTAAATTCTAAAATCTTAATCTAAGTTACAAAAGAAAAAAAATAGTACCGTTAAACTTAAAAAATTTCACTAAGTATATTAATATAACATCTCATTCCTCAAATGTTGGAGTACCAATACATGCCCTGTTGTATTTAAATCTTCAACTCACATTTTCTTCTATTCATCTTTAGATCTTTCAAGTCAAGCTAAAATTAATTTGTAATATGTTAGAATTATGTTTAGGACATAATTAGTTATTCTATAAATGAACCTTGTATTTGTTTCCATTAAATATTTAATTGTGTGGTGCATTCCTATGCACAAGATTAGGAGCGTATTATTTAATTGCATGAAAAATATTAATATATTAAGGTTATTATGGTCATTTTATAGGGTCAAGGGAGATAAGTGTAATATTGAAAATTTTAAGGGTACTAGATGAAATTGTCAGAAACCCAAGGGTACTTCAGACGTATCAAACTTATAGTAAATAATAGTTAATAACATTATTTTAGTCCCTAATCTTTAAATGTCACTTCAATCTAGTCATTAAAACACTTTCCCCGAAGATTCTTTTTCTAAACTGTCATTAATTTTTTATTAACACCAAATTTACCGAATAAACTTGTAAAAGTAAATGACTTGGAAAACTACAATAACACATAATGATTAAGTAATTACACATAACAATTCTAAAACGATAACTTAGAAACGAATAATAAGTTACAATTAGTTTCAAAATGATAGTAGCATTTTTCGCTCAAACTAGCGCTTGTTACCACTGAATAGCATCCAAATCTACAGTAGGCTACCAAAGTTGTACCAGCAATCCCCCAAAAAAAATTAATAAAAATGCACCAGATAACTTTTTTTATTTTTTAAATGCTGCCGTAACCGGGAAGCTAGTACAACGTTCATTTGATAAACAATTTTGGTAACAGTTCCAAGTGAAAAAATGTGCCTGATGAAAAATAAAACCTCATGCTTGCATCTAAATTCAATACATCTTAAAAGTTGAAAATAACTGCAGCTAGCTTCCTGATTTTCCACAGAGAAGTGTTCTTGAAAGAGTGACGGCATTGCTATATGAGGACTTCATCCCACTGAATTGCATCTTAAAGAGCAGGAGGGGAGGGAGGAGGAGAGAGGAAGGGAGGGGAGGGAGAGGAAGAGGGAAGAGGGGGAGGGTGATGGTGAGGAACGAGGGAGGAAGAGGGGTGGAGAGGGTGGCAGCAGTGGAGGAGAGAAGAGGTGAGGAGGGTGATGGTGTGTGATGGATGGTGATGAAATTAATAAATTTGAAAAAAAATACTCCAATAAAAATCACAATAGAATACATCTCCGAAAAGCACATAATCTATACGACCCATTTACAATGGAAAAATTTATAATATAATGCTATAGTGTAATTTTTTAAAAACACCTCCAAAACACCTAATCCATATGACCCATCTATAGTAGAAAAGTTTTTCAAATACAACACTATAGTATATTTTTTCAAATACATACGATTCAAAAACAGCTAATTCATACGATTCATTTATAGTGAAAAGTTTTTCAAATACAACACTATAGTATAATTCATATGACTAGCTCATCTACAGTGGAAAGTTTTCAAATACAACACTATAGTGTAATTTTTTAAAATACCATTAAAAACACCTAATCCATACGAAGCATAGAATATCAAGGCTAGAAAATTCAACTGTAACTAGAAATATACTTTAAGGGGCAAAGAAAACTTTGAAGTATTTAAACTTAAGTATATAACTTAACACATTTTCAAGTTTTTGTTGAGGCAAGAGTTTAAAATTAGAATAACAGTTTAAGTTTGAAGACAGTTCAAACCCCTCCGCACTGCCCTCTACATCTTTCGATGAATACATCTGTTAGTCATCATTTGTAAATTAAAAAACATAATTAGCCAGCCTCTTATATGTTGATACATTTTTTCAACACTTTGTCCTTAAGATTTTTCATTTTTTTGGTGCAAAAACGTTAACTTTGGCTTGGAATAAGGTCATTTCCCTTTCTCCTTAATCTTTTCGAAAATAAAATGAAATTAAGAGAAGAATTATATACTTTCCTCTAGAAATCTGAATGTTAAAAGTATACCTTCTACCCAAAGTAATAGAAAAGAAAAAACTTCTACCAAAAATAAGAGAAAATAAAAAGAACAAGAAACTATGTTTGACAATATCTTGAGCATTATAACAGAAAATTTAGTGTTTGAGCATTATATATATCGAACTTGTCAAACAGAAAACATTAAATGGTCATTTGGCATCGAGTTTTGAAACTGAAAGAAATCTTGAAAAAAAAACTATTTTATTCTACAAATGTGTGTTGACCTAATCTTCTTGCATCGAAGCTTCCCATGTATTCAGGGATCACGAGCATGGTTTTGCATGTGCTTGAACCTGAACGTGCATTAGTGAATACGAAAAACCTATGGTTCATAACAATGTCAAATCCGACGAAATTCCATCCTAGAAGGAAGCTCACTCCTTCTCCCCTATATATATAGCTTGTGCTCGACTAGCAATTTGCAACCGTAAAACAAGCTATGGAATTCCTTGGGCATCTCCTTCTTGCTGCACTTCTAGTTACTTTTCATGTGCTTGCAGCAAATGCCCAACACCGTGGAGTATTTCCAAGTGCTCGTGCCTTAAATAAAATTGATCGTAGTGCTGTCCCCTTATCTCCAAGCTTTGGTATAGATGTACTCAACCGGAGCAGTTTTCCCAAAGGGTTCATCTTTGGGGCTGCATCTTCTGCTTATCAGGTTCGTGATCTATTTATATGTAGTATACATGTAGTTCAGGTGCTCATTCAATTGGTCATTATTGTAATGCTAGACTCTAGCTTTCGTTCCCATTAAGTCAGTCATGCTTCTCATTTCTAGATGTTCTAAAATCTTTGTTATGCTTAAGAGGTCAAAGCATAATTTTTATCAATCTTCATTTTATCTCGTCCTATTTAATTATAGTACCTCATTTTTTTTTGTTAATTATTAAATTTTTGCCTATTTGAAGGTAAGAGAGGGAATCATCGATCAGACAACATTACCATCACTAAATTATCTCTAAAAAGTTCTTATTATCTTTCTCCTTCCTTTTTTTTTTGGGCCCCTCCTCTGTAAGCATTCCTAAAAGGTTGGAAGTGAAATAAGGATTCAACTATTGCGACGCTGAGAATAATTATGACTTTCTCAAAATTTTTTTATAGGTTGAAGGCGCTTGGAACATTGATGGCAAAGGTCCAAGCAACTGGGATGTTTTCACTCACAAATTCCCAGGTTCACAGTTTTAGAACTTTTTTTTCCATTAATACAGTGATTTTTCCCCCGCTCACTTAAGCGTGGAGGCATTAGGGACGCAGAATTGAAAGATCCATATATACACATGGTCACATATATAGTTTGCTCAGATGTGAACCACTTCTAATATTGGGCATTCAATTTTGGGCAAGTTATTTACATGAAAAACGTATACTTTCGAGAATTTAATATTGCTATTAGTATATTGGTCCATCTATCCTATTAATTATTAATTACTACAACAAAAGAAAAAAAAAGTATTGGTCTATGCTATTAAGTTTCGCACTTCTAATGATTACCACTCTCCCTTCTCCAAATTATTCATCACATCCTAATAAATTGTTGCACAAAAAAAATTGTCAAAACTAGTAGCCTAGTCTGACCAACTCCATTCTGAAACTACAGGTAAAATTTCAAATGGCAGTAACGGAGATGTGGCAGCAGACTCCTACCATCGATATAAGGTAATGCAAACCAAATCCTTTGGCTGAAATAAGTTAATAGTAAAGCCAAAATATCATACATGGAAAAATAGGGCACGAAAATCAACGAGCCCCGCAAAAATATACCTAGTTAGAAAAGAAAATCTGTTATTTCTGTTTATTTACGTTGACTACAATCGTTGCCACACAAAAAAAAAAAAAAATTGAAGTGCGTCTACAATGCTATCTTTCTCGTGTGACAGGAGGATATCAAACTCTTGAAGGAAATGAATGCAGATTCTTATCGCTTCTCAATTTCTTGGCCTAGAGTAATTCCTCGTAAGGCTTCACTATGTAAACCTTTATCTAGCGACAGTTTAAGCCCGTTTAATATCTACCAAGTTTACCCAAATTGGAACATATTATATTGTTACTAAGCTATACAATGATTTGCAGATGGCAAGATTAGCAAAGGCATAAATGAGAAAGGAATTGAGTACTACAATAGGCTCATAGACGAAATTCTTGCTCATGGTATATAAAAATCCAATGCTTTTTAAGACCGTATGATCTTGATCATTTGGTTGTGTTCATCTAATTCAACATCTTTGAAATTTGAAATGCACAGGTTTAAAGCCAATTGTGACAATTTTTCACTGGGACTTGCCCCAAGCCTTAGATGAAGAGTATGGAGGCTTCTTGAGTCCTAAAATTATGTAAGTCAAGATCCCTCTTCCTATAATACTACTATCACAACCTAATTGATATTAATGAACTCTAAACATGGGTGATAATTTAGTCTAGAAGTGATAGCAAGCAACATATACAACACAAAATAGTTTATTTTCCAAAAAAAGGAAAACGAAAAAGGAGCAAAAATAGACATACATAACACAATTTAGTTTATTTTGTTTATTCCACATATATCCAGTATAGCAAAACATGATTCTGCGCACACTAAATATTATAGCAAATATAACAACTGGTTGGAACCAAATAGAAGACAACCTTCACTTGCCCTATTCTATCAAATTCAGCCCAAGAAATCATTTATGCAATCCAATGATAGTGTTCTATATACTGTAAGAGTCAGGATGCTTTTGGCTTTTGGATTTGATGACGTTTTATACTTTCCAGAAAGGATTTTCATGACTACGCAAATCTACTGTTTGCGAGGTTTGGTGATCGAGTGAAAGATTGGATCACATTCAATGAACCTTGGACCTTTAGTTCAAATGGTTATGATAGTGGATCCTCTGCTCCTGGTCGATGTTCTGCTTGGATGAATAATAACTGCACCAGTGGAAATTCAGGGACAGAACCCTACTTGGTGGCACACCACCAACTTTTGGCTCATGCTGATGTAGTTAAATTATACAGGAGAGTGTATCAGGTTATTGTTGCACTTCTAATTCAAACTGACATAGAATTTGATCGTAATCAATATTGAGTTCCATAATTACTATTACTAATTGAATTGTGCATATGGTTTAGGCTCGCCAAAAAGGACAAATTGGGATTACACTAGTCGCTGAATGGATGGTGCCATTTTCAAATTCACCTCTTGATCAACGAGCAGCCATTCGTGCCCTTGATTTCATGTTTGGATGGTAAGTGTGCCAATAAACGTTTGATGAAGAAGATTGCTAACAAAGTATGTATATAAATGGCCTTTCTAAAAAAAAAAAAAAGCCCTTTCGAAAAAAATAAGAAGTTTTTTCGGCCCTCATTGAGGCTTTAGGAAATCGAAGGCTCTCTGGCTTAAATACAATTAAGTTGTACTAGTTCAACATGATTTTGTCCAAGCATCTAACTTCCAATTTTAAAACTTCACTTGGCAATTTATTATTATTATTATTTTTACTTTAACGTCTTTCCAATGGATACCTAATCTTCCAATGTAAAATTCTCTTTGACCATAGTGTTTTTCCCAATTGGTGCGCAGCCTGCACCCAATGGTGCACCTAATTTAAATAAAAATATTATATGAATGTGAACACTCAGAATTATATTGTTTTTCTTGGTAATAACACCTCAAAACTCTCTTACCGAATGCCAATTGATCACTTGCTTGCTAAACCGGTTACTGCATGTCAAAGAGTTTTTTAAGTCTGGAATAACCTTTATTTTCACCAACATCTTTACAAATTAGATAGCCACATACTACAATTATGTAGGATGTTAACTTCTTGTATTAGTCCCCATTTTAACACTTACCCATAGAAATGCCCCGCGTACACAGATTAATATTCTCGTGTAATATTAGGAATGCTTTCTATTAGAAAGATCAAGGTTTCTTAAAATTTTCATGTTCAACATGAGGAAACGTCTAGTTCTCCTCTTGTAAAGTTACGTCCTGTGAATAAATTTTGGAGTGGTGTCCCTTCCCGACCCGTTTGGTAAGTGAATTTTTTGGATGTTTGTCTAAAACTTTACTATAACTTACTGTAAAAGTTTTTTAAAAAATTTTTGAAGTATGTAAATTTTTTAATATTTTGAAGTGTATAATTTAAAAACTTTTTAAAAATTTTAAAAAGTTTTTTAAGATTACTGTAACTAAAGTTTTTAAAAAATTTGTAGCAGACAAACTTGACAAAAAAAACTCAAATGCCAAACAGGGCGGTTAGCCAAAAAACAAAAGAGTGCATGCCTACAGAGCTAACACCTATTCAATAAAACGCTACATTCAATGATTACCTTGACTAGATATTGACACCTATTTTCTATTGGCATGTGTTACAGGTTTATGAACCCTTTGGTATATGGTGATTATCCCGCTTCAATGAGAATTCTTGTCCGCGACCGACTTCCCAAATTTACACCAAAGCAATCTAAAGAACTGATAGGGTCATATGATTTTCTTGGATTAAATTACTACACAGCTAATTATGCTGCCCATGTTACAACTCCTCCAAATAAGGTGAATTTAAGCTATAGCACAGACCAGCGAGTTAACCGTACAGGTGAGTTTACTTCAGCTTGCAGGATATATAGTTTCAAATTTTGCAAACATTTTACAAGAAATTTATTCATTATTTATTTTTATTATTAAATTTTGAATAACTTAACGTTGCGCACTATAATGTCAGCGAGCCGCAATGGGAAGCTCATTGGCGCACAGGTAATTAAAATGTTTTAATAGCGTACAATTATATTATATCTTCCAAGTTCCAACGTTGAATTTTAATAAATCAATTGATATTTTGAAAATATTTTGTATAACTCCATGCAAATTTCGAAACTGACTATGCAGGCTGGTTCAACTTGGCTTCATATTTATCCAAAAGGGATTTGGGATCTCCTTCTTTATGTAAAAACAAAATACAAAGATCCAATCATTTACATTACAGAAAATGGTACCTCTCAGCACTTTTCTTCTTCTCCTCCTCCTTTTAATATATATATATATATAGATATAATTTTATTAATGTGCTCTCTTAGTAACAGTACTCTTCTCTTGTGCTCTCTTCTTCTTCGTCTTCTTATTCTTCTTCTTCTTCTTTTTTATGTAATTTTCATCAAATCACAACAATAATTGATACCACATGCACTCCTACATGTTACTCTATTAACCGGCAATAATGGATACCCAATGTACATTAATCTCAATTTATATCTTATTGTTTCAGGGGTTGATGAAGTAAATAATCCCACATTACCACTTAAGCAAGCTCTTCAAGACAGCTTTAGAATCCGATACTACTATCAGCACCTTCAGTATGTCCGAAAAGCAATCAAGTGAGCATCTCCAAATACGTCAATGAAAATCATGAAACAAATTGCTTGGTCAAGTTAATTAAACTTTATATTTTGAACCCATTAATGGGGCTTTATTTCTCTAACCTTTGTTCATTTTGTGTTTCATATAATTGTAGAAATGGTGTTAGGGTGATGGCATACTATGGATGGGCAATTATTGACAATTTTGAGTGGAGTGCTGGATATAGTGTCCGTTTTGGAATCAATTATGTGGACTATAGTACCTTAAAAAGATTCCGTAAGCTCTCTTCTTACTGGTTTGAGAGATTCCTCCGCAAGTAAAAAGTTCACATATCATTCAGCAGCAACATGAAGTCGCCATGCTTAGCTCTATTCCACTACGAAGATGCAACAAAGTGGAAGATAACATTTGCAGAACTTTATTCAGTTTCTATGCTTTTTTTTTTTTACTAATTCAGTTTCTATGCTTTGATTCAATAATTGAAAAATAAAGAGGCGTGAATTGTAAGACTTCTTGTTGTTCATCAATATTATTAATTTTTTTAAAAGAATTTTCTCATAATATCACTCAATTTCCTAATATTTTGAGTTCGATCATTATGGTCCTTTAAGTTTAAGCAATTATAACTTGAAATTTTTAAATGAAATAATATGTGAATTGAATTAAAATATATGATAAATATGATCCTAAATTTCTAATAAAACACTTTGTATTGGCACAACATTATTGGAGCTTTTGTCCCTGGTCGATGTTCAGGCTGGACGCAAAATAATTGTACCGGTGGAGATTCAAGCACCGAACTATATTTGGCAGCACATCACCAGCCTTTAGCTCCTACTGAAGTAGTAGGGCTATACAAGAAACACCATCAGGTTTTCTACTTTAACAAATTATGTTCTTTCAAATCCACTCATGTTTGGTTGGTGAGTTAAAATCTTTTCCACAAGGTGCTGTTACTCTTGGCATTTGTGACAACTATCTTGACCATGGTTAACTGTAAAAACCTATAAGCATTGGCCAATATTAATTACAAACAAACCAGAAGAAACACTAAAATTTCCATTTTGGTTTAGAGAATTAAGTACAAAATGGAAAGTATTATAAAGATATAAGTAGAAATTACCAACAGTTTTCAAGTGATGGACTCGCTTATTTAAATTAGGTTGTGAGAGAAGAAAATCTTGAACATCCTTTGAAGCTATTATTGAATTTTAGAAATATTTGGAAGTCAATTTTGAAAATCCCTTTTATGCACTCAGGTGCAAATGGAATGGACTAGACTAGACTCCTCACCATTGAATAGGAGAGATTCTTCATGCATACTCCAATAAAGTTCAAAGTAGTCCCGTGTTATTCACTCCTTTTGTGCTAATCCACATTACAAACTATCGTGACATTGGAAATGGATAGTAATTAACAATGATTGACTATTTCTACAAGTATATAGAATCGATTGCAATAATAAAATTATGTGGAGTATTCTAGGAGACTTTTTTTTTCACCGAATGCTTTGTGTTATTAAACGAAAACCAAAGTACAAAGAGAGTGGCAAAGCCTTACCTCCAGAGTATGTGACAAAATGAAAACCAAGCAATTCTTCCCTATTTTCTACATCTACGCAGACTAGGTAAGCCTTTCCGATCTAATGCAACATCACCCATAACTAATCGGGGAAGATCTAAAATTGATTCATATGTTATAGCCACCCCGACTCAGTTCCGACGTTGGATAAATTATCTGCAGACTTATTCGCTTTTCAACCTCGCTCTCCTTTGAATAATCTAGGTAAGGACCAACGAATTGGACTCCACAAGTTAAAATACCCACGAGGCAGCCCTAGCCGAACTCCGTGAAGCAAGGCTTGCATCTCTACTTGTAAGCTAGTCCACACTCCAAAATAATATGAAAACCCTAATAGGAATCTACCCTCAGAATCGTGGAAAGTCTACCTCTACCACTCCTCCCTGGGTTCCCTCTTGAACAGCCATCCGTATTCAACTTCACTACATCCGGCATCAGGCACCTCCATCTAATTGCAATCACTTCAAATTCCCTTCTCCATCTAGCTACCATATCAAAGAAACTAGGCCACAACATAGGAACCCTAGAAATTTCCCGAAACTTCAGAGATAAACTAAGCATGAGCTCCTCAAAAATCGTCTCACAAACTTGAAGTACAGGTATCAACTGTCCCTTAAAAATGAATTTATTCCTCATTTTCCATAAGTTCCAACAAATCAGAGATGGCAAAAGTTTGACGATATACCTAAGGTAAGGGCCAGTAAGTAGTCAACCACCAATTAATTAACTTATGTCTTATGATAGGGTGTAAATTATTATTAAATTTATGATTATTTTCCCCTTTTATTCTTGCCAAATATTGTTTTAATTGTTAGATTTCACTTATATTTGGTGTTTTGTATTAATTATAGGACATTGGAGCGAAAGATGCTAAAAAAGTGGTAATTTCCGAACAAATGCAATCAAGCCCAGACGATTCGGGATTTACATGCGGAAGTTTCCTAATTCGAGCCAAATACCGAAGAGCCTTTGGTGGAAAATTTAGAAATCATTTTTTTTAATTGTAAGAATTAATGAGGGAAACGTGAGACATTATATTTGGCAATTTCTTTCTTTTATTAAAAAAAAAAAGATGTTTCATTAGTAGTGGGATACACGAAGTAGGAAACTGGGGAGAAAAAAACAGAAGGCCGAATTCCCGTTGGATTGAAATTTCAGCAATAAGTAGAATTGTGAGTGACTAGTCACGGAACTAGTCACTTAGATTAGATCCTTATCTTTGCTTTGGTTGGCCGCATGTCTTGGGCTTTCTTTCATAGCATCACATTGGGAATGTTCTCAATAATGAAGAACTAATTTTCTTTTTCTAGCCGAAGAATAACAAAGGGCTTGGTTCATCAACATCTGTGAAATCTAATTATTTTTATTAATTTCTTTTATGTCTTCTAGTTTAATTTCTCACAGTTGTTAGTTATTTAGATATCAAAGGCGCCAGATATTTAATTCAATCTAACAAACTATTGTCAATTAGGATATAGTTAAATCTGTAATTCTTTAATTGTCTTAAATTAGTGACATCTAATGTGATTGCGGCCACAAGATATACAATCTAATTTAAATAAACTCTGGTAGTATGTTTATTGATTAGAACAAGGTTTTTCTAATTTTTAATGCAAGCAAGAAATTACAGGTAAAATTGCAAATGGCAGTAATGGAGATGTGGCAGCAGACTCCTACCATCGATATAAGGTAATGCAAACCAAATCTTTTTGATCAAATAAGTTAATAGTAAAGCTAAAATATCATACATGGAAAAATAGGGCAAAAAATCAACGAGCCCTGCAAAAACTATACCTTATTAAAAAAAGAAAATTCAGTTATTTTTGTTTATTTACGTTGGTTACAATCGTTGCCACCAAAAAAAAATAAAAAATAAAAAATTGAAGTACGTCTACAATGCTATCTTTCTCTTGTGACAGGAGGATATCAAACTCTTGAAGGAAATGAATGCAGATTCTTATCGCTTCTCAATTTCTTGGCCTAGAGTAATACCTCGTAAGGCTTCACTATGTAATCCTTTATCTAGCGACAGTTTAAGCCCGTTTAGTATCTACCCGTTTTAGCCAAATTGGAATATATTATGTTGTTACTAAACTATACAATGATTTGTGACGGGTATTTTACATACGTGCAAGCTAAAAAATACCGAATTACACCCGTTCACTGCAAGTATACAGATCAACTAGTAGTTTAGAGTATATATCGGGTCGATCCCACAGGGAAGAGTGAACAATTACCGGTATTACTAAAGCTTCTCTATTATTTAGACTATCAATGAATTATAACAAATTTAACCTACTGAAATTATGCAAGAAAATAGCAAATGAAAGCTCCTTAGGTTGTGGTATCCCTAACTACTCATGCAAGTGCTATATTTGGATCATTAATTACTACATCTAGGCTAGTTATGGTGTAATTTCCTTATGCATTTGAATCCTACTTTCGTAGTGAATCAATTATACTTATAACTAATCCATACCTATTCTCATGGTTATGAAATTAGCTACAAGTTCATTTCTTCAATGAAATTACATGAAATGAATCACTAAAAACCACATAGATGCACCTCTACTTTCGTGAGTGTACTCCCTATGTTTAGCACTTCTTGAACTAGTGTTAAATCTCAATTTCCATTGCAGAAACAACACCTTAGATAATCACAATCAATGGTACCAGATTAATCATGATTTAAAGAGCCAAAGTGCTAAATAACTTGCTCAAATCATAGCAATCAAATAACCAAATAATAAACACTAACAATTATAGAAAGTTCAACCAAACCCAAGGTATAAACTTTAGAAACACATAATGAACACAAAATCCAGAACTTGTATATTAACTAAACTTGGAATCAAATACAAAAGATAAAGAATTTGGAAGGAATACAACCCTTGTCACATGAGCTTTCTTCCTTGCCTTCTTCATCCTCCATCTTCATCCTAATCTAGATAATAAACAAGAATGGAAAAGCTACACTACTCTATACTAAGCTAAACTAACACTAGGGAGATGAAAGAGCTACATTTCTGCAACTTCCAAGCTTCTCCCGTATGCTCTCTCTTTTCTGCTATGAACTCCCAATCATCTCTTTTTTTTGCAATGAATTTGGCTATTTAATGATGAAAGGTGGTCAAGAAATGAGGATTACATCTCCCTTTTACAGCTGGGAATGTTTCTCACATGTATAGCATCCAATGTGAGTTGGTGGAGGTGAAATTGAGTTTTACGCGTACAGAGCAGCCTTTTCTGACCACAATCCGGCCATTTAATCCTTCCTAAATTACCCCTTAAGTCAGCCGAAATATTTGACTAGGAAAAGGAAAGAAAAGAAGAAAAAAACGAAGGCACACTTAGATGCCAAGTGTCAATGATCAAGGGATGTTTGACCAAGTCCATTTTCTTTGTTCTTATCTTCTTCTTGGCCAAATTTTCTTCATTTCTTTCTTCATGGTGGCCGAACCTCAAGAGGAGAAAAGAGAGAGAGAGCTTTAGTTTCCATCTTGATTCTTGCCTTGTTTGAGTTGAAATCACAAAAACTAAATCAATTAAACTAGCACCAAGGGAGTTAGGAGGCTTGGAGTGGAGAGTTTCTTTGGAGAAATAGCTTGGTTCATCACTTCTCAAGAGGTTTTGAAAGTATAAGTTCAACAACTTCCTTTCTCTTTCTTATTCTTGCAAAATATGGCATAGATGACATGAATTTTGGAATATTATGGATGATACTCTAGGTTTGGTGTGT